AAGAAAGTGAATTCTTAACTTAACGTCTACATCAAAGAAAGTGAAGTCTTAACTTAACGTCTACATCAAAGAAAATTAATTCTTAACTTAACGTCTACATCAAAGAAACTGAATTCTTAACTTAACATATACATCAAAGAAAGTGAATTCTTAACTTAACGTCTATATCAAAGAAAATTAATTCTTAACTTAACGTCTACATCAAAGAAAGTGAATTCTTACCTAAACATCTACATCTACCACAGATAAATATTTTCCCAGGTTTGAGGTTATCATCATGTTTTGATATTTCATCATTTCTTAAAACTCCAGATATTTATGATTACTGATGCTCAAGTTGTGTTTGATGTTAATAATAGTTAAGCTAATGTTTATATTGCTCAGGTTGTGTTTGATGTTAATGATATTTAAGCTAGTGTTTATATTGCTCAGGTTGTGTTTGATGTTAATAATATTTAAGCTAGTGTTTATATTGCTCAGGTTGTGTTTGATGTTAATAATATTTAAGCTAGTGTTTATATTGCTCAGGTTGTGTTTGATGTTAATAATATTTAAGCTAGTGTTTATATTGCTCAGGTTGTGTTTGATGTTAATNGGTTGTGTTTGATGTTAATAATAATTAAGCTAATATTTATATTGCTCAGGTTGTGTTTGATGTTTATACTTGTATGTTTGCTCTACAGCAAAACATTCCCTGAATTCGCAGGTGTTTGAAGTCTCTCCTTCTAAATTAATAACTTTTTGACATACAGTCACCTTTACGTTAATAGCCTGTGTCTCTTTGATTACATTCACCTCAACATTTACTTCCTCATTTCCAGCTCTTTTTAGAAATGTATGCAAAAAGGAATTACACTCTTAGGGAATAATTATGTCTTTAGACATTACAAAAACAGAAAATGTTTAGATGTGGCGAGTAATTTCTAACAGCAGAATGTAGGTAAACACTTGCTAGCTGCCTTAGGCATATGTTGAATGATAACCGTCATACTTCATTAGCATGTTCTATTTTGAAACAATCATAAAACACCGTTGGTACTATTTAGAAATAATCATAAAACACTGTTTGTGTGAAATAATCATGTAATTTAGATAGTTTCTATGATGCTGTATATTTTGCATGTGATGTACTAAAGCAAAATAAACTTACTTCCCTTTACATGTATCTGGTTATACATTTACTGACCTTTTGTTTAGACTGCGAAGATTGTATCGTTTAGTCCTTGGATGTCTAAACTTGATTTGCTTCTTTACTTTAATCTCTTTGATGTCTGCAAACTCTTCCGGATCAGAATCAGTTATAAACACCGGTTCTAAAAGTGTTGTGCAGATGCTTAACCTCTGCGTTATTCTGTTGAAATGTGTCACTTTCCGGGCCTACGTACTATGAACAATTTATAGTCAATTCATCCTCAGTATTTTTGCAAAATTGTCTTACATCTCCTTCGAGTTCCAAGGTTGTTTAGTGTGATGATATTAAAGAAATTATATATATATATCAGTATTCTTACTAAGATTTGAAGCCTTCCGATAGCAACAAACTAAAGTATTTTATGCTGATGACGCCTTTCTATGTATGTTTGCTAAAAACATATTCAAATGAGAAACCGACTTTAATGAACATATCCTGCAGTCGTCCTGATTTTCGGTTGACAGATATGAACATTGATTAAAGATTCACCAAACTGATTTTATTCTAGAGGCATTTGTGGGTAAGGATTGGGTCAGTTATTTTTACTCTTACTTAACTTTAGTGTCTCGTTCAAGTAGACATTGCATTGAGCTGGTTAGGCTTCACTTGTTGTTGTTTTGCTATATAATGACAACAAGGTATTACTTTGCAGAGGAGTGCGAGATCTGTTTGGATGTCAAGTATGACGCAATTTTTATAATCTGTTATGTATGTAATAATGACATTTGCGAAGACTGCATAAAAGAATTAGAAGCTGCCGACTGACCGTTTTGTCGAATGGGCTATATGACACAGCGTGCCTACATTAACTGGCATACCATATTCAATGAGCTTGGTAGATTTTTCGTGATTAACACGTTAACAGATATACAGTTTTTCTGTGATTACAATGAGATCTACTCGGAAATGAGGGTAGGGATTTTTTCTATTTCAACATCGAATGGTGCAAGATGTCTCAACCCTGCATTTGCTAGACACTACATTCAGGAAGAGTTGGACCACATAGCTTTCGAAGCGGCACTTAGACGATCAGTATAAATCAGATCTTTGTGACGCGTTTCCGATGGTTTGTCGAATCTAGTACAGTGCAAATATATTTTAAACCATCTATATGTCAGCTGTGATTAAACTGTTTTATCCATGATTAATTATGAGTTGTATAATTTACCTATAAGATCACCTGGTTTCAATACCAATGATCTTTCATGAGAACGTGGTCATTTAAACTTTCACCTGGACCGACTACCTTGTTTGAACAGAGTGCTTTAGGTGATGATGTATTTGCTGGTTGGATGTCGACAATAATTTGATATCAATACTAATGATCTTTCATACAAACCGTAATTGATGACCTCACTCTACCTTAAACCTACAGTAATCCTGAGCTCAATCGGATCGAGGTTTAATACCCCCACTTTACATCTACTGAGGGATCTTGGCGTTTATCGTTGTACCATCTTTAGTTCTGTGTTATCTCGATCTTTGAACAGACTGCCCGTTTACCTTCTTAATCAGTCTTTTGATCAACTTCAAAAGTTAACATGCACAACTCAGGACCAAGGGGAATCTACATATCAAATCTGAGAAAGATTCCTCCAGTAAATTCTGAGAAATAGCAATAACAAACTTAAACTGTAACAAGATGGTCGCCTGCTCACAGCTTGGTTTTCAGAACAGTCCAAAAATGTGTTATGCATAACAAAGAACGAAAAGGAACCCTTGTGTGAAATTTTAGAAAGATCCTTCCAATACATTTTGAACAATAGAACTTAAACATTTGTACTCCCGAATTCAATATGACCACCTGCCAGCCATCTTGGTTTTCCAATTATCCCCAAAATTCAATAACCTGCATGGGAAATTTGAGAAAACCCCTCCTGAACATTCTGAGAAATAACACTAACTTTCTTTCTCAAAAACACGATGGCAGTCTGTTGGCCATCTTGGTTTCCCTTCTGTCCAAAAATTTGATGTGTATCAAGAGACCATGGGGAACTCACATGCGAAATTTGACAAAAATCCCTCCAGTACTTTCTGAGAAATAGCGCTTGTTTAAGGACAGCTGGACCACGGACCACAGATGCAGGGCGATTTGGATAGCCTACCATCTGATGATGGTGGGCTAAAAAAATAAAATAAAATGCTCTTAATACAAGTTTTATTCAAGACATTAGGTAACTTAATTAATGGTATTTGCAAATAAAATATTTCCATTAATTTCTAATGGATAAAACGATAATGAAACATATGGTGTCAAGGTTACATTCATCAAATTCATAAAAAGTCTGTCTAATAAGACAGGCATTAAATCATTTCTCATCATTCAGAATATTACCATGTTCTCAAAGCTTTTTAATTTATACAAATGCAAAATATGAGTAGCTGTCAGAACAATGGCACGTAAGTTTTCACCAGCTGGCCGATACCTAATAACCAGGAATCTACATGTAGTTATTAGTCCCATATCGTTCCTGGGGAGGAATTTAGGTTTGCATTCGGTTTTACAGTAAGTTTGTAAACAAACAGCAATTGAAAGCTAATTTTGTAAGCTTTTGAAAACATCTGTTGCATTTGTCAAGCAAAGAGAAAATTTAAGGGGGCACTAAATGTGCCCCCTTAAATTTTCTCTTTTTTGAGTTTTGAGCAGTTATGTGGAGCCTGGCATCACCTTTTATGGAGTTTCCGGAGCAGAAAGTCATCACAACTGCTCCGATCGGTGTCATCCTAGACTACGGAAAAGATACGGTGATAATATCTAATAAGCAGTCAGAAAAGTTAGGTCAACAACCTATAAATTCAGACCAGGCTGATGACAGTCAGGTCACATAAACTTTGCATCAGAAGCTTTAAGTGGGACAGACAGTGATATTCTTTTCTTGGATGGCCTTATCCTACGATGGGAAGACAGTTCCATTAAATTGCTGGTACATAGATTCACACCATCCATTGCACCACCAATGTGTTTCAAATGAACTGAGAATACTTTTTAACTCGAAGACCCTATTTTACTTGAATGTATTTCTTCAGTCCTGGCCGAAAACTTTTTTTTATCTTAGTAATTAAAACTATTGATAACTCTTAACTCTGAAAACTTAAAATAAATCCTTCATCAAAGTATCACTTATCTTGAAGCTTTTATTATTTTCATTGTCAGTTTTATTATCATTAGTACATATAAGACGTATTGCTATGGTAATGTGCCATTCAACGTTTCTTAATATCGGTCTTATTGAACATTTTTCTTTCAGTCATAAGTATTTTCTATGAAAGTTTTCCAGTAAAATATATTTGACTGTTCATGTTAAGATTCAAACTTCATTAATGTTGATTACTAGTAATCAGTGCTCACATCAAGCCTGTTAAACGATTTGAATGGTACATTATTTACACCTAACACTGCATAACCAGAAAATTGGTCACAGTGCAGACATACATAAATGAGCCCCACAAATAAAATCACAACCTAGGCCTGGTTCGCCGGTTCATGTTTTTACAGGAGTTTGTGTGGCTTTGATAATCAATTGATAGATTATAGGAACACAACAATAGTTACTGTTGAGTACGTCATATTGAGGAGGTGTCAAGTGTCATATTGGTATTTATGTAATAGTGCAGGCTAACTATGTGTTTGCTCTAACAGTGTAAAAACTGGCACACTTTCATTTCCGCATCAGAAGCACAATCGGAGACAGCATGTAAGTTTTAAACTGGTAATGTACTTTTTGTTTGCATGTCTCTTTACAGGTCCCTGTCCCACTCCAATATGTAGAAACCTCCGCTTAACTTCCGTTTGGATATAACATAATGAATAAATTGTTCTTATTTTATATAACTATCATTTTTGTTTTTAATTGATTGTTTATAGATGTTGACTGTGTCTGAAAAAAATCAACAACTCATATTTGACCAAACATTAAAACACACTTTATACCAGACATTGGAAGTCACTTAACCCATAAATACTTTGATAACTCAAAGTATTTCCATGATCCTGCTGGCTTCGATATGAGGTTCAACTGTACTAGAAATAACAGAGGGCTGCAGGCACACCCTCTGTTTATACCACATTGAGTCCCCTTGGGCCAACAATGTGCCAGACCAAATTCAGTCAAAGTTCCTCCAGTCTTTCCAGCCAGTTTAGCTTAATAAACCAGGTTTCTTTCCCATGTCATGTACAGGCATCTGAAGTATAACAGACTGCATGTAAAATGTCTCATCAACATAAATATGACAGATATCCTTAACAAGATCATTTCCCTAAATGAGACTTATTTGTCTCTAAAAACCTATCACAGATTAGCATTAGTCCTTCACTCATACAATAAATGGTGTGGTCATCAGGCCACAGTTATAATAGCACTATCTGTATCATAAAGTCTTGGGGTGAATGTTAGTTAACACTTCGTCCACACAACTTAACGCCTCTTCAGCCTCCTTTTTGATATTGTCTATAACCCATTCAATGGCTTCACGTCCCTGTAAAATCAAACAAAATAACCATTAATTCATGAATGTATGTCCATCAAAGTACAGAAAGATTTAACCCTCTGATTTTTTTTTATTGAGATATGAATACCATGTTAAGAAATATTGTCATTGAGAATGAAGGGAAATATTTTTCATTTTCATTTGAGTAACATGGAAATGCTTTTGTTACAAAAAACACACTTTAAATCACTAAATATACAAAAATGACAATTGTCATATTTGAATTAATACATTTACTTAAATTCTTTTGCAATAGGTCAATATCAGTTGACACATAACCACATGCTGACAATGTATTTTTGTTAACTTAAATACTGCTACAAATTACCGCAAATTTGCGGGTATAGTGCACACTCGTGTATAGTGAGCAGGTACGTTTTTGGGGTCAAGATTTGAAAAAAAATAAAAATGAAAAAATCCTAAATATAAACTGGAAAAGTAGAATCATAGTTAGCTTGGTGTTTATAACGCCTAGCTTGGTGTTTATAACGCCGATTAATTAACGATTGATTGATTGATTGATTGGAGTCAACAACCCCATGAAGGTCTCCCTCCGCTTGGTGGACGAATCCTGCAGAAACCAAACAAAGAAAGTGTAGCTAATTCCGATGCCGATCAACTTATGTTTCCACATCTCAGCGGTTTTCACAAAAATTACGAAAATGTAGTGTTTCAATTATAGGCTCCGTTCCATGTTAGTTCTGGTGGATTTTTTTACCAAATCGCTAGGCCTAGTGTGCATTTTTTTCTCGGCTCACTTTCATGTTGACGTGATCGATAACCTCGTGAATTATTTCAATATTATGAAGCATCATTAAAATAGTGTATTCTGCTTGTATTAATTTCCCTCAAGTAGATTTGAAGGGGATGTGTTGAATGCCCACGCTTCTAGTATAAACATATTTTTATAATCCCTTTACGGCCAAATCAGTCTGTAGTTCTAACAGTGCAGTTGGGCTTCACGCCACGGCACATGTTGAGGAGTGAAAACAACACGGTCCCTCAATCGCGACTGCAAGTAATTTCAATTAATTTGAAGTAGAGCTATTGTTATTCGGTAATCACTGATAGAGTGTTAGCTAATTACTGCATTGTAATTTGTATTAATTGTGGTGTTAAGAAGTGTCAATAATTTTCGCTGAAGCATGGCGATCCTACCTAGCCTACTGTCTTGTCCAGGATCAGACGGTATGCCATCCGGTCAACTTACCCGTAAAATGTTACGTGACCAGCTAGTGTTCGTCGCCAAATCAGCAGTCATGATTACCCATTTTAATCATTTAAGAGAAGGTAAAAATTGTGTTGCCAAAATTTCTTTCTTTCTTGTTATTATAATCTTCAATCTTATCATATATGACCGACGACTCAAAATAAACTATTTGAAGGGAGGTAATCCAATATGGCGGACCAGAAACTCGAGAATGATAACCCAAGAATGACTTGTTACTGCGTATAGTGCGCACCCCCTTTTTAACATGATAATATTTACCCAAAAAAGTGTGCACTATACGCGCAAATTTACGGTATGTTTTTCAAAATTTGTTGTTTTCATTCATTCTAATAAGCTACAAAGTATTACAAACATTTGTCATATAAATACCTCACCTTATCTAGGAGATCAGTCATTGAGAAAAGCTAACAATAATTTTGTAGATGATCAAAGTGCCCATGGCACTGGAGGATTGGCGACATGAATATATTTTCTCTCTATGAATTTTATCCTGAATGAGCAGACTTCATAATAGTGTCTGTATACATATATGGAACGAAATAAAACCAAACTGGGCAAGTCTCGCTCCTGTTACTATAGTCATATTAGTTGTTTTTTTTACAATTACAGTGCTTAAAGCTGATCTTTGTTCTCCACACAGTATTAGAAAATATTCTCAATACTCATCTTCATATCATAATCAAGTTTCAATACTGAAAATCTTTTGGTTCTTGAAAAACTATTGATTAGGAACCTAACTAACATAGTGACCTTTAAAGGGGCAAATTAGGGAAATCACTCTTCTTAATTCGGGAATGGTTCCTAAATAAAATGGACCTAAATAGTCTGCTGATAAACCAATGGACATTGCGAATGGGCACACCAAATTTGGTTGAAATTGGACCTCTTTATTAGAGAATACATAATTCTTTATATAAAAAAAATAATATACAGAATCACAGTACTCAGTAAAGAGTACATGTCACTACATGCTATTTACTATTGTGCCTAATTCAGAAACAAAGTTATTTGTAGTATTTAAACTTGGGTTTATGTTGCATCCATTTAGCTAATTAATTTGCTGATGTCGGAGACAAAAATTTACATACATTTTTTTTGTGATTGGGACAAAATTAGAGAGGGGGCTTAATTGCAGGCACCCACCCTGTCTCCAGGACATATACCAAAGTGGGGAGGGGGCTTATTTGCGAGAGGGGGCTTATTGGCGGTAAAATACGGTAATACACGAAAATCAAGCAAGACACACCTGAACTAATATCTTTCCCCCCTGAAGTGGTATATACGTGTACTAATTTTAGTGCCACTTTATTGCTTCAGATATCCTTTATTATATAAATGAAGGTTTATAATTTGTTGCCAGAACAAATTTTACTAGAATATGTGCCAGAAGAACTAATACAGTATGCCTCCCTTGTATTGAGAGGGGAAATAACTAGAACAGAGACAGAATTTCCAATAGCCGTGTGGGGTAGATATATACAAGACTTGAGCTGGCCATGGAGAGACAGTACTTCTTACCTTGCTAGTGTTGCTCTCGACGATATTAGTCACCAGTTTCTCCCAGTAACTTGCTAGTGGCATCCTATTGTTTACTGTCACTTTTGTGCAATGGTTCAAATGTGTCCTGAAGATAACCAAAGAAGCTGAGATGAATTTCAAATGTAAAAAATCTGGATCCTTTTCAGATAAAGGGAAATAAGTAACGTCCATCAGGCAAGAATTTGCATCTTTAATAAATAAATATACAACATTTGATATAGCGCCCTATCTAGCCAACATTAGCCACTCTAAAGCGCTTTACAGTACATAGATATACGATTTTATACAGTCAATACAATTAGCATATATATATTAGTCAACACAATATTAAGGAATTTGCAGGAGCTGCCTTATCAGGCGCTAACTACTAGCCCTATGCCACCTGGCTAATAATCTTTGACATCTTGCAATGAATACACTCATAT